TATGTATATACATATATATACATATATATTGTAATATTGTCCCCTCTTAGCTTGATCAACAAGATCCTCTATACAGCTGCAGCAGCAGCAGCAGCAGCAGCAGCAGCTGCTGCTGCTGCTGTTGCTGCTGCTGCTGCTGCAGCGGAGAGATTACAGCCCTCATTGGGGTGTACATACACCTCAGTTCATCGATGAAAATCCTGCTGCATATCAGCAGACAGTGTTCATAGGTGTTGCTGCTGCATTTTCTTTTGCTGTTGTTGTTGCTGCTGCTGCTGCTGCAGCTGTTGCTGTTGCTGCTGCTGCTGTTGCTGCTGCTGCTGCTGCTGTTGCTGTTGCCGCTTGAGAAATGCTTTCTCCTCCGGCTATTTGCAATGGCAGCAGTTGCAGCACTTGCTGCTGCTGCTGCTGCTGCTGCTGCTGCTGCTGCTCCATCTGCTCCAGCTGCAACTGCTGCTGCTGCTGCTGCTGCTGGTGCTGGTGTTTGTGTGTGTGTAAATGATTGATTTCTTCTGCGTTGGTTAGTCTATCTGTGTTGCTGCTGCATGCGGGAGCAGCAAAGGGAGAAGACAGCTGCAGCAGCTGCAGCACACCGAGATCCCGCTGCTGCTGCAGTTTGAATATAACAGACTCAGATAGCTGCAGCAGCTGCTTCGGTATATAATTTATATATTTCTCGGTGTAGTCGACGCCCCCCTCCATCAGCACCACGCCGTGACGCAGCAACACCACCTTCGAAAACAAAGACTGCATGCACACACACACAAACAGCAGCAGCAGCAGCAGCAGCAGCAGCAGCAGCAGCAACAGCAGCAGCAGCAGCAGCAGCAGTAGTTGTAGAAACGCAGAGAATGAATACGTGCAGCAAGATGCAGCAGCAGCAGAAACATATAGATAGCATACTTGCAGCACAAATGAAGCAGCAGCAGCAGAAGCAGCAGCAGCAGCAGCAGCAACAGCAGCAGCAGCAGCAGCAGCAATAAGAGTAACTGCAGAAGGAGCAGCAGCACCAGCATCACTTAAGATAAACA